TTGCTTTTTTCCACAACAGAGCACTGAGAAATGCTTTTGGAGGAATGTGCAATTCAACAGAAGTACATTTCCTGCTCCCACAGGTTCAGGGAGGCACACCGGCTTGTAAAGACCAGCTATTGGCAACAGTGCGGTTACAAGTAGAAGGTCTCTGGTAATCTTCTTGTAGGCAAGGACAGAGAAAGAAAGAACAGCCAACAGAGAACCTCTCAGAAATGTCTGTAATTTCTAACGCTGAAGCTGACGGCAGCTGAAATGTGAACAGGGATGGGGTGGTAGGGGAGCGCCGTGCAGAAATGCTTGGCTGCTTCTGGCAGGTCCCCCTCAGTCTCTGGCATGAAGTGCAAGTGCAGGGGTGGTGCAGGAGAGCAGTTAGTTCTCCCTGCAGCCTCACTTGTCTCTGAAGATGACTCTGAACTTTTTCCTGTCCAGCATGGACTGGAGAATCTTATCTCGGGTGTTTCTGAAGGTGGCTGAGGTTAGGGTACCTGGCTGGACTTAAACAGGTCCATCGTGCCTGTTTGCAGCTGCTGCAAAGTGATGTCCCTGTTGTCCTGGCTCAGGGCAAACCTGTGCACACTGGCTGCGGGAAGATGGGGCGGTCCTGAGTTTTAACTGTGCTTCATTTTGAGCAGGTGCAGGATCATCTCAGAGTCCCACAGAGGGAGCTAAAGCCTGGGGAAAAGCACTGCTGGAGTGGCTGAGCAAATGGAAGAGGTCCGGATCCTCCTTGGCATTCAGATACCAGCTGCTTTGGTCTTGAACTTTGCTCAGGATCCTTTGGAAGATACTGTTTGGTTGTAGTCCAACTTACTGGTTTTCTTCACTTGTTCCCCTCTCCATCTGCTATAAATCTTAAAACTTGTTTGGGGTTTTGCTTTTTTGTCTGACAAGGCAAATGTGTTGTGAATTCTGGGGTGAACAAATATGGTGATAGGAAAACTTTAACTGCTGAATAGGACTATCCTGGGCATGGATTTCAGTCCTACTATGTGGGGTCTTCCAGGGAGCTCCAGACTGGCTCCTGTTCTTCACTTGAATGTGGACAATAGTGTGAAAACATGCATGTTTTGTGGTGATGCTGGATTGTTCCTCTTGATGGTTTATCCTTGGTGGATAGGGGTCATCATCATCATCAGGGTTTGTGATGACAGCATGCTTATTGCCTCCTGGGAAAATGTGAACTCTGCAGACTCTGTTGGTGCTCAGGGATATCTGGGTGTACCACCCCAGCCTCCAGCAAGGACAACCCTCACCAGCAGCAAGACAGTACCTGGCAAGTGCTCTGAACTCCTGATGTCCTCTGCTGAAGCACTGGCTACAGTCTGTTCTTGCCTTGGGAGTGTTATATGGGAGCTGGGGAGGGGATGGTTTTTTGTTTGCTATTTGGAGATAGTGTTTTACCTTATTTACAGCTCCTCACTTGCTTGTTTTTTAAACATTTTCTCCAACTTTTACAAAATAAAGTTTTATTCTTTACCAAGACGTTGTTCAAGCATGATATGACAGGTCTCAGCACCTTGGAGAATTTGGATGAGAAACTGTTGTGAGATCATCCTTCAGGTTTCTTTTGTGTCTGCCTTAAAGACTAAGGCGTGTGTAGGAAGACAAATCTTTCCTACCTATTTGTAGATATTCTTCTCCCTATCTTTTTTATATGTGCAGAAATGTAAACCTTTCATTAATCTGAGCAGCTTGTTCACCCGTATGTGTTATAGTTCATCCTTACTGGCCTGTTACTGTGAACTGTGGAAAGGCCTCTCAGAAGTTGAGTACGTGGATCTTGTTTCCCTCAGGCTCCGTTGACCTTATGGACTGTGGCTCTCAGCTATATGAGATTACAAATGATATGTAATCATCGGATTACAAATTACACTTTCTCCACATGAGGCCAGGCTCTAAGGTAGGTGGGACTAATACTGGGGAGAGCTGGTGCCATCTCAGGGCTTGCCCAAACAGAAAACATTCAAGTCATTATGGGGGGGAAAAAACCTGAGGCATGGGCAGGCTTGAGCATTGCTTTGTGAATTACCATGTGGTTCCAGCCTGTGAATGAACTTTTCTCAGAATAGATTCAAACTTTGGCCATCTTACAGGGCTGGAAGCAGCCAAGACCCCTGGTGTAGTAAGTAGGGCTGGACCATGGCTGTTTTCACAATGGATTGAGTGACAGGGTGTGTTACTAGGGTTGCACAAGGCTTCCCATCTGGGCTGTCTCCTTGTCTGTGCTGTATAGCTGTGCCTGAAATGTAAAAGGAAGAAGGTTGGCAGGATGGTACTTAGCCTTGCCTTTGTGTAAGAGTGTGCTTACTTATCCAGCAGCCCCCTTTCCTATTGCTGGGGGATCAGACTGCCATATCTACCTCTTGTTTAATTAGCTGGAAGTCATTTATGTAGCTGATAAAGCAGTATCTGTATATGACTTATTTGCAGGGAAATAATTTGTCAAATTACTGTTTCACCTTGAGGCCCCAGTTGTAGCTCAGGACTGCAGGTGATACTGAATTAGCCTTGACTGAATGTGCAATTCCTTCCCAAAATGCAGGTGAAAAGGCTGATAATGTCACTCTTCTGGGCACGTACTGTGGGATGTCTCCTAAGAAATCTCCTTACTGCCAGTACTGCAATCAGCATACTGCAGCATGGCCGATAGCCAGCTCCTAATCTAACCATCACTTTTGTGTAGCTCACTGCTAATGTTCTCCAGCAGATTTATTCTCTTGGAAATGAAGCTTCCCCTCTTAATTATTTTTGCCAAAGATACCAGGATTTCATAGGATCCAGCTTTGAGCACAGACAATTGAGCTGAGTGTAAATAGTGCCCTGCACACATACACAAGAACTCTTACCATGTGGTGGACAAGCACAGAGAGAAGATACAGAGCTGAGTTAATGTCTTCAGGCAAATGCACTCGAGGGTGAAGAGCAGATGTAAGAAGCTTTGTGTGTTCTGTAGCTGAAATTGAAAATATGCTTGTAAAATGCCTGTAAAATTGTCTCTACTTGTTACTGACTTTGTTCTTGGCCCAAGTCCAGCAGGATCTTGGCTATTGAAGAAGTTATACCCCTGCAAGTCCAAGTTCATTCACCATCCTGTCTCCCTTCATCCATCTCTTCCAAGATCATCCCACTGTCAGTTACTACCTTATGGATGTTGTTACCAGATTCTTGCTGTGACTGGCAAGTATTCAAAGTGTTTTGCTGCCACAAGCAAATATTTACTCAGGAAGGATTTCTGATGGCAAACATACATGTTCTGTTTGATTTCTGTATGTGTCAAGATTATTTCTTCAAGTTCAGGGAAGGAGTTTATAAAGACCATGATAGAGAATTCTCCTTTCTTATAATGACTGAGGATCAGAGTGGCTGTCACTCTGCCAAGGGCTCCCAGAAGAATGATACTGTCTTTAAAGAACAGGAATTTAATGAAAGAAGCTTGTCCTTGCAACTTCCCCATCCCTAGGGCAGAATGGCTTGCTTTCCATTTTTTTTTTCTTCTGGCCAAAGATCTGTGAAATTGAGAACTAAAGTAGTTGCTGAGTGAGCTGTGGCCTGTCCCACTTGTTTTGGGGTGCTTTGAGCAACGTTTGAAGGCAGCATGGGAAAAGCTGAGCTAGCTCAGAGTGTCTTGGTTAGTCCCAGCTAGCTGTGTTCTCTCAATAGGATGCTGAGGAAGGTAGAGAAAGATGAGTTATGGGTGAACTGAATATTCTGGTTTGCATCTCTCTTCAGTTGAGACACCATGTGATAGGTGGGACTGAAGCAGGAGTAGGTTCTGAAAAACACAGGAGTGTTCTTGAGGTGTGATCCACTGTCAAGATATCTTAGCAAACAACATCCTTGATGATGTTAACTTATAACAAATGCAATAAAAGACAAATGACAAGAAGTTCTAAGGATGAGGTTCTACTACCCTGGAAGCAAGAGCTCTGTCCCCTTCCCTGTTTTTAGAGCAGGATGCTTTCACCTGGAGGAAGGGAGGCTGCAGGCACTCGGAGAGTGCGTGCAAGACACGTGAACAGCTCCTGTTGCTCCAGAGGATGCATTTTTTTAAGCTGGCTGTTAAAAGATGGACAGACCAATAAAAGGGTTTTGTTCCAATTTCTCTGGCTACTGGAGGTATCTGTGAACTTTGCATTTCTCTGATAAACTCTCGAAATTGTAGTCGACTATTAACCAAGTGCTGTACTGTTCAAAGTCTCATAGTGTAGGAGGTTAATACTAAGCCAGCCCTATGAGGTGCACCTTGTGTGTGGAGGGAAAGGAGCTAAGGTGCTTTGGTAGAAGAACAGTGTGTTCTGTGCAGCATCAAAAATACAGATCTGAGAGGATGAACCTGTTCTCTGTGAACTGCAAAGTGCCCTGAGCAAGTTGGTCTGTGCAAGGTGGGACACCGAGCAGTATTTCAACCCAAGGGCAGGTACATTTTGTGGCTGCAGGAGGGTTAATGCTGTTCAGCTTTATCGCTGTGGCCAATGGCAAACATCCTGTCGGTTTCCAAGGCTGCTCCCAGAGAATGTCCCCTTCTCCCTGGAATGCAGCAGTCACCAGGCAGCCCCTCCAGCTGCACAGCTGCCCCTGAGCTGCAGCGTGAAGGAGCAGCAGCTCTACTGCTATAGACTTGTTGATGGAATTATCGCTGGGGGAGAACAGCTCATTTAGCAGCTTTTGCAATAAGTCTGCCCCTTCTAGTTGGACAGAAGAGCCTGTGTCCCCTGTAGTCAGGCAGCACCTCTGTTTTGAGACAGAGTCTGGCAAAAGAACATCTGACCTAGCAGTGACAGACTTGAACAAGGAAAAGAAAAGACAAGAGGGAGTCACACCGAGTAAGGGAACGATGAGACAACAGCAGCTCACTCTGGCTGATAGAGCTTCTCGTTGATTGGATGTCTTCTGAAAAATCACAGAGGGGGGGATTCTGTGCAGGGCGTTTCCATCCCCTGCGTTCTCTCTTTGGGCTATAAAAGCATGTACCTGGCGTCTGTGACTCAAACACCAAAATGAAGTTGAAAGGAGAAAAGCAGGAGAGCTCTGATGACAATGCAGGTTCAAAGGGGGTGAGTATGCTGGATTCTGTCATTCCAACTTGAGCCTCCCACAGAGACACAGGGCAAGCTATGTGAGATCTGCAGGTACTTGTAGAGGAAGGAGAAGACAAAGATCTTCTGGGTTAGCATACCCACAGCTGATCTCCCAGGGAGAGCAGAGATGTGTATGTTCTTGAACTCTGTTTACATCTGTCTGCAGAGGAGTGTTGCACAGAGTCTCATGATTTTTCTCTCTTTATCTGCAGTTGATCTACCATGTATCTTCTGTGTGACTTTCCCCTTCTATGTGAGTTTTCTTTCCTACTTTCTAATCAGTTTTAGGCTACGCATGCTTCTGGATGGGGGGCTGCCTTTCACCACAGCATATTTTGTGGAATCTTGCACAATGCAATGCTCGTGTATGCCAGAGGTTTTCCTAAAAGTGCTGAATGTGAATAATTAACACCAGTGGCTCTTTTGAGCTCCTGGGATTTGTTTAATGAGAGCAAGGCAGCCTGCTTTTCATCACCAATGTGAGAATGTCAACAGTCTGTTCCTACAAAATGTAGCTGGAAGCCTCTGCTCCCTCCTGATCCTTACTCTGAGATCCACTTGAATTTTGATCTCCTGCAGTGCCTTAAAGTCTGCAGATCTCTGGAGGTGAGCTGCTGGAGCTTCTGAGGAATATCAGGAATACAAGGAGGACCAGCAGCTATTTGGACAAACGTTCAATTAAGGAAATGACAGATCCTTCATGTGGCATCTGAGTTGAGTGTTGGGACAGAAAACCTTGCGGAGATTAAGGTTAATGATGGTGACAGAAAATTATGTGTCTGAATGAAAAATTACTTTATTGATGTAGCAGTGATGAGATAGATTAGTGAGCTATTTAAAAAAATAAAATTAAATAAAAAAACCCCCCAACAAAACAGCTCAGTGGATGCAGTAGGACCAGCCTGAGGACTGAACAGCAACTAAATTGTTGTGAAAAGCAAGTTGCTTGTAACCCTGAGGACTGTGTATCCATAAACATGGTTGGTCTTTGATCCTGCTCCAGATGGCAATTTCACCCTTCTGTGTAACTGCAAAGTGCTGCTCTTCTACCCAACAGCCCAGCCCTCCCTGAGTGACTTGGATAAGTTCTAACTGGCTTCGCTGGCAATCAGATTAGATCCATAAACAGCTTGACACTGAAATGCAGGAGCAGAACAAGCCAGCACGTGGAAGCAGAACAAATGAGCAGGAAAGGGATTTTGCCACTTCATGCAAACTCTCTTTTTAAAACCTTCCTGTGCCAATATCCTGTGTTATTTCACGAACCAATTTGCATGTTGGAAAAAGAATAATTGCATTCAACTTTTTTTTTCCCCTGTGTGGAGTGGTATTTTAAGAATGGTAACTCAAAAATTATTCATCATCCAAATGATCCATCAATACTAGGAAAGAGTAGAACGAATTACTGTAACGATTATGTGCAAATCAAGCAGAACAAAATGAGTTATAATGAAAACAACTCATTGTGCTTTCTTCATATAGTAACGTGAAATGAAAAACAGAGAAGGCAAGTCTGAGGGTGTTGCTTTTTTTACTGAATGCCTTTTATGCCTAAAAACCAAACCTGCCTCTAAGGTGGTGTTTGTGTTTTTTCTCCCCTCTGCAGAAAATGACACTTTTGCTTGCGCTGGTAGCGCTGATATCTGCGTTTGGATCTTCTTTCCAGTATGGCTACAACGTCTCTGTGATCAATTCTCCAGCCCCGGTAGGTTGGACTGTGGTGTGGACCATGAGCTGGGAGCAGGCTTACAGACAGAGCAAGGCAGGAGCGTGATGGTGGATTAGTTTGTGGGCAGGTGCTCGTACTTCATGCTTTGAATCACAGGCACCCGGTGAGGAGTGGCTCCCCAGGAGAGGAAAGCGGGGCTGTTAAGGTGTGTAACACCACTTCTGCCTTTTGATGGCTACATCCTGCTTATCAGACAATGTATAATAACAAATCTTTAACAATTTTTCTATCTTAATTTCTTATCTGGACTCAGGCCAGTGAGGATGGGGCTATACAATAGATATTTCTAGCAGCCATATACCTGGTCAGCTTAATTTATATTTTACACTTGACTTTAACAATTTCCATGTATCTAACAGATTTAACTTCATCCTGTAGTATCTCAACATGAACACTACTATGCGGACTTTTGGGGCATGAGAAATGCCTTCCCTTCAGGAAACCAGGCAAATTCTGTGAGGCTAAAAACTTGTAGTAACAGTCATCTAGTCCAGGCTTCTCCACCCTTCTCTTGCATTCATTTTCCAATTCAGCAATTCTGGTTTTTATCAAGACCTGTGTTGTTAACTAGCTTTTGCAGCATGAACGTTTTACTTACTGTGCTAAACATGCTCTGTATTTCATTCCAGTACATGCAAGACTTTTACAACCAAACCTACTTCAGCAGGCATGGAGTGCCTATGGATGGTGGCTTCCAGACGCTGCTGTGGTCTCTCACTGTGTCCATGTTCCCTCTGGGCGGCCTGTTTGGGTCCCTCATGGTGTGGCCTCTGGTCAACAATTGCGGTCGGTACGTGACAGTGGTGTTTCAGATCCTTCACCACCAGTTTGCTGGGTTCAGATAAGGCTTGCCTCACTGGTCACTCCAGCTTGCCAAGCCCGTCAGGAGCACCACTCTCACACACACACCTTGATTGTGAGGCAGATGGGACAGTGATTAGGTGCTGGACTCAGCAGCACGTGTTGTCTCCCATGTGTAGAGGAATTTATATGGTTTCAATATGGTCAAGGCCAGGCTGTGTGCTGGGCACTAAGCCAGGCAGAGAGCTATGATAAAAGTCCTGTGCTGGGATCTGAGATCAGGCCCAGCTTCTGCTGCTCAGGTTTCCTGAGAAACTTCAGTTCTTTCTTGAAACTTTAATTCCCTGCAGGGGCAAATGGGGCAATCACCATGTTCTATTTGGTTAGTCTTTGGAGGGGTGATTCAATTGAGTTTTGGACAGTACAACACAGAGGTGATCTATCTGCTGTTGGGGCCTTAGAAAAAATAAGCTGAATCTGTCTCCTTTTCTATCATTTTGCAGAAAGGGCACTTTGCTGATAAATAACCTCTTCTCCATTGCTGCTGCAATCCTTATGGGAACCTCAGAGCTAGCAAAAACCTTTGAAGTAATCATCCTTTCCCGTGTTATCATGGGAATATATGCTGGTAAGTGGATGGTAAAGGGAGAGCAATAAATACATTCTTGGCTATGTAAAAGGGTTTTAATCTCCCAACAGATGGGTTCACAGGTAGTGCATTTTAGCCATACATCTGCATAACAATGGTGCACTTGCTTGAGTAGCAGCTGTCATCTGGGTGTGGCAGGAGTACTGAAGAGCTCTAGCAAACAACGGCAGCGAGACTGGAATTTCAGGTGTACAGAGGAGATGGTGTCTGTAGGTGCAGCTATCCTCTGCAATGAGCATCTGCTAGGCACTGCAGCTCCAACAGCCAGGAAACCTACTGATGATCATCTATTTTCTCAGACATCTTAAAGCAGATAGCCTAGCTTTTGTTGTTGTTGTTTTTAACTTAATCAGAAACAGAAGAATCCTTCTAAGTCAAAGTCATTGGAAACAATGCCAGATCCATTAGTCCAGTCCTGGAACTGACTGTTCTTCCTGCAGGAGAAAAGAAATGTTAACAGGGATAGTGAAGGGTCCAGAGCCACTGGATTTACTGCCAAGATAGTGGGAAGCCAAGGAGAAGGGTGTATGGGAGTTGCTGGTATAAGTGGCTATATTAGAGCTACGGTAACATGGAACACGAACTCCCAGAATGACCAGGTACCCCAGGCAGCAGTATAGTTAGTGAGTGTGTGCAGAGCCAGGTTGAGAAGGGTCCTAATAGCATTTAGGCTCAAAAAAATTGGCTTAGGGCTGGTGAAACCGCTCCATGGTTTATTAGTGAGTTGGGATATCCTGTAAAGATCAAATGAGAAAACAAGGAACTGATGTAGGAAAACAACTTGATCTGTAAGATGCAACAGTTGTGCTTGGTGAGCTAAGGAAGGAAATTTGAGTACAGTGGTTTTGGTTTGGCTTGTGACTCCCCTAAACCTGGCAGCTGCTCTCAGTATTGGATCTCAGAATAAATACTAAGGGACCTGTTAGGTGTGATCCCTCTTTCCAGTTATTTATAACTGACAAAAGAATCTGGCCTGGCTGTCCTGACTTGCCCTTCACGGCTTGATCTCACTTGATCTCTGGACTTTGGATCTGGGGAGGGAAGCTGCTGAACTGAGCCAGCCTGTTTCTATGAAACATATTTGTTTCTATGCCTTTTGGATTTCAGATAACAACTTGATCACCTTTGTAACTCCAAGCTCCTGAAGGCCAGGACCTTTAGAAATGTCAGATAAGAGTCTTGTGTGGTCATTTGACTCCAGGAGATTGGGTTTTGCATGCCAGGATTCACAGCGTAAGCAACAGGAGCTGGCAGCTCGCTGGGGTTACTGTGGGTAACCAAGCAACGTTCCTCAAAATAACCTGTGTCCTGTTAGAGCAGAAATACCTATTCCAGTATGCTACCTGTAAGAGCTCTCAAACCAGCAGAGTGGTACTGAGCAATTAGAGGAGTAGTGAACTTTTAAAAGCTAGCAAGAAGTCACACCCTCCTGCCCTCACATCAGCTTGTTTGGATACCAATTTCTTTTCTTGTTTTAGAGGAAGTAAAAATTCCTCCCTTACACTTCGATTTTGTTTCCAAACCTGAAGTAGCACACAATTTTTCTTTGCATGTATTATGTTGCAGGACTTGGCAGACCCTGCTGGGAGAAAGCTAATTTTAAAAAGATGAACACTGAGAGCCCTCAAATCTTCTGCCAAGTCTGTAGGCAAGATAGGCTACTGCTAGCCTTCTCAGACTCCTAAAATGCTTTGCTGAGCAGTTATAAACTAGACCCTCAAAGCACCAGGAGCTGGGCAGGTTGCACTCCCAAGGCCAGAGTTTCTGAGGGCACCAGATACAGTGATGGATTTTGTACCTCTTCATGTTCTGAGTTAACCAATGCCATGTGTTTTTTGTCCCATCTTCCACTGAAGAGTGAGGAAAACATACACAGCTTATTCACTGGCCAGAAGATGACATTAAATCTTGGGCTGGAGCAGAAGGGCTTGAGTGTGAGGTTTCAGTATGTACTGTGGTCCAGCAGGGATCACTTGGTCTTACATGGAAAAAAGGGCATCTTACTGAAGATGATGACTGTGCTGATGTCAGGCAGCTGCATGTCTAATGTTGTTCTCTAACTACTAGGTCTGGCTTCCAATGTGGTTCCCATGTTCCTTGGAGAAATTTCCCCCAAAAATCTGAGAGGTGCTATTGGGGTAGTACCCCAGCTCTTCATCACCCTTGGGATCCTGGTAGCTCAGATCCTTGGTCTCAACATCATCCTTGGGAATGCTGAAGGTAAAGCACTGGCTCAGGACTTTTCTGTGGGCTACATAGGGGAAAGATTTCTCATAGTTATCATCTTGTTGCAGGCTGGCCTGTGCTGCTGGGGCTCACTGGGATCCCATCACTAATTCAGCTCCTCATATTGCCCTTTTTCCCTGAGAGTCCCAGATATCTGCTGATACAAAAGGGCAATGAAGAGCAAGCACGACGAGGTACAGTATCAACCTTTAATGAAATGGGAGGTGAGGTGGAATGGGGTAGATCTGACCGTGGGACATGACTGACAGCAATGAACAGTGAAGCAAGCGAGTTTGAAATTCTTCATTGACATGTTGCTGGTGTGAATCTCTGACTTCCCACCATGGAGCACTGCTGCCCACGGTTTACATATTCTTTTGTCTTGATTTGAAGCAGGAGAGCTCACTGTAGACCTGCTCTCTGGGGTCCATAACTCACCTTTCTCTCCCAACTAGCTCTGCAGAGGCTGAGAGACTGGGATGACGTGGATGATGAGATAGAAGAAATGCGCCAAGAAGACCGGTCAGAAAAGGAAGAAGGACATTTCTCTGTCCTCAGCCTGTGCACCTTCAGAGGCTTGCGATGGCAGCTCATCTCTATCATTGTCATGATGATGGGCCAGCAGCTCTCTGGGATTAATGGGGTGAGTGGGAAGGCATGTGGGGTAAGTAGCGAAGGGACTTTAGACTGGATGATATGGGGCAGTGCTGACACAGGAGCCAGAACCTAGGACACAGGAATACTCCTTCATCAGAGACACTGGTTCTGCGTCATGTGGTGGTGGATTGACCCTGGCCAGTACCAAAGCTGGTACACAAGGCTGTACTAGATACAGAGTCAAGCTGTCTTGTTAAGGATGGTTTGGATTCTTGGAGAAAGGTGCTTGTGTCTGGATCCAAACACCAGTGCCTCCAGACATGAGAGAATTCATTTCTCGGGCTTCTGTGCACCAGTTCCAGGATGTAAAAGCAGCCAAAATGGGGCTCCTGCATTTTGCCTTTGGCCACGTATGAACACAGCTGTGGTCTTCCTGCAGGTCTTCTACTACGCAGACAGAATCTTCCTGTCAGCAGGTGTGGACAACAACAATGTCCAATACGTCACTGTGTCGATAGGCGCCATCAACGTCGTCATGACTTTGCTTGCTGTGAGTTTTATTAGGGCTCTTTGAGTTCTGGCTTGTCCAGTCTCCCCTGTCTGTTGCTGTTTCAATCAGGTTGTTATTTACATGCACTGCAAACTGCTTTGCACAATAGATGCCCCACAGTGGCCCTTGGCTGAGGGCAGCTATGTTCACCCAAATGGTTAATCATGCTGATTTCTTACATGCCTCAGAAGTTTTCAGTCTCTGGTCTCCAGGCTGATATGCCCTCCTTCTGCTGCCCAGTGTTACCATGCAGGGCTTCCAGCCTGTTCTTACTGGGACTGGGTACTGAAGAATGGCCTGCCTATTCGCTCAGTATTATGGACACATCCAGCTTTTTGCAGTTCCTGAGTGATTTCATGCCCACAACCCATCTGTAGATGGTGGACATTTCACTGAATTTCTTAAAAGACAAAGACTACCTTAATAAAATTTGCTGGAATTAGTGCTGTGCCCCAGGTGTCTGATCTCTCACCCTCTTCTGTCTCTGTCAGGTTTTAATCGTGGAATCCCTGGGGAGGAGAATCCTTCTCCTTGCTGGCTTTGGATTGTGCTGTGCCTCCTGTGCAGTGTTGACTTTGGCCCTCAATCTCCAGGTGTGTAGTGGAATGGCTCAGGTGATCCTACCCCTGCATTTCTGGACCTTCCAGGGAACAGGTCACTGGTATATGTTGAAGTTGTTTCTATACCCTGGAGGGGAGGAGACAGCATTAAAGGTCTCTGTACTTGTATATCTACCTAAAGTAAAGCCAGGAAAAGCTGTGACCCTGCTGGTCTGAATACTACTTCCATTATGTCACGATCATAATACCCATTGCACCCATTTGTTGGAAGCAAGGATCATACCCAGGCTGTGACTTTCCTGGCGAAGTATGGACATACCTGGCTTTAGAATGCCTTCAAATCTTACTACAAATAGTGCCTTGAATTTGCTGGTGATGTTCAGATAGGAACTGTGTCTAACCTGTGATTAAACTCTCCACAGACCACTGTCTCATGGATGTCTTACCTTAGCATAGTGTGTGTCATTGTTTACATCATCGGACATGCTATTGGAGCCAGTAAGTATGTATGGTCTACTCCAGTCTCCTCCACAAGTAGGGTAAAGCCAAGTGTTATATTGAATTTCATCTCAAAAGCTTTGTGGAGCTAATCCAGAGAGATTACATTTCTCTTCTTTGTGGCCATGCACCTTGTTGAGTTTCATCTAGGCTTATTTATGTTCCAGTGATTTGCTGGCTGTGTCTGTGAGGCAGGGGAGCATCTGGCTTTCAAGAGGAAAAGCAAAGGCAGAATTGTGCTTGTGCCTGAGATTCCCCCAGTAAGATCTGGAACAAAACTACACTGAGATAGTGAGCCCTACCAACTGGGCAGAGATGTCATATGCTTGCATCTGTAGGCAACAATCCAATTAGAAGCAATTCAAATTATACATGTGGCCCTGCAGAAAGGAGATGTGCAGATAAATGTGGCTGTTGGAAAGGCTTTGTCCTGACTCAGCTTCTCAGCATGGTAGAGTTGTCTGTTTAGCTTGGAAAACCATGCCAGACCCTTGCTGGATGCAGCAATGGAGGTTTGAAACTCCTGTAGAAGTTTCACTGGCAGATGGAATTACATACAGCCTTTCCATTTCCATTTGTGCCATCAGTCAGACACAAGGAGTGAGGGCAAGGGTATTGCTGGAGGGAGAACACCGGGCTAGCTGGACTTACTGTCTGACCCCATTAATGAGAACATGGTCTGTTCCTGCCTAACCATGCCATGGGGTGGCAGTGCCAGGCACAAGCCTGAGGGTTTGTTCCATGAGTCATTTTTCCAATACCTGCCTGTGTTGGGATATTTTTCTTTTTTTTTTTTATTTTTTTAGAAGGAATGACTGACTTAATTGTTACTCACAGAGTGCTCTTGGCAGAGAGTTCGTGTTTATCAATCTTATTTTATAATTTATGCTGGAGACGGGTTCATGGTTAAGGTGCAGCCAGAGGAAAAAAGAGGTTGATTGCTGTGTGTGAGCTTAGGAAAGTCATTTAGTTGCCCTGTTTTTGTTGTTATTTAATCCCTTATTTGATTTATTAGGTGTTTCTAAACATGAGTAGTTTAGAAACCATTGCCTGCCACTGAAATGAACAGTGTAATTTAGGAATTCAGAGTGACAGAATTGTCTTTGGGACTTTGAAATATGCAGTTGCCTTGCAGGTCCAATTCCCTTTGTGATGATCACCGAGATGTTCCTGCAGTCATCCCGGCCCGCAGCGTTCATGGTGGGGGGGTCCGTCCACTGGCTGTGCAACTTTACCGTGGGGCTCGTGTTCCTCTACATGGAGGTAAAATGCAATCACATGACAGGGCAAGACTTCAGCTTAAAATTAGTATTTTTCACCCCTGTGCCCTTAGAGAACGTTTTTATCCTGAGAGCCATAAGTGGCCAAGTTGGTTCCCAGTACCTGTATGCAGGATTAGATATTAAGGGCAAGAAACTGTTGTTAATTGGCATTTTTTAATCATATTTCTGTTGCACATGTGCTAAATGAAAGCAGATATTTTTCCAGGTGAATGTCTGATCCAGAATTCAGGTGTGAGAAGACAGAATCTAGAACCACCCCTAACTTCTAATCATTCAACTTACAATATGTGCACATCACTGACTGGTTTTTTGTTTGTTTGTTTTTAAATATATAGCTATTGCAGGGTTCAGCATGTCCAAATCATGTAATGTGCACAAGCGGAGTCTTCCTCTGATCCCTGCTCTGTCTTCTTTCATTGCCATAGGCTGGACTGGGACCCTACAGCTTCCTCATCTTCTGTGCCATCTGCCTCGCCACTATGGTTTACATCTTCTTTATTGTTCCTGAGACAAAGAACAAAACCTTCATGGAAATCAACAAGATCATGGCCAAGAGGAACAAAGTGGAGATTCAGGAAGACAAAGAAGAGCTCAAGGATTTCCACACTGTCTCATGTGGGCAGGCAGAGAAGAAAGAAATCTCCAGCAGTGAGCTGTGACCCAGCCCAGTGCTTGGCTTGGCCCAGCCATTTTTCAGGATCTGCTCAGGTGGAGAACAAATATATTCATCATTTGATACTGATCTTCATTCAGACCTTCTGCAACTTCCCACAGCAGGAGTTTCCAAATAAGCCATTGTGTCTTGAGGGTGTTCTCATTGTGAGTAATTGGTAGGACCATTCTGCTGCTGCCAAGGCAAATTACCCATTCATGGTATTTGTCACAAGGAAAGGACAATGTCCTCAGCCAGCTCAGTTCCTGCGATCAAGTAACCCATGTCGTAAGGTGATATATGTCCCTGGTGACACACGCCACCATTTGGGCTGAGTTTTGGTCAGCTGGGGGCAAGGAGTGCATGATATTCCTCTGAGGAACTGTCATTCATGTATTTGAGGGTCCAGCATGGGTGATGGTGCTCTGGAGTGGAGAGAGTGTCAGTTGTTCTCAGGTTCTTTTTTAGATGGTCTGATAATGGCATTTATCCTGTCAGCCCTTGTCTGTCCTTTATGTGCTTCAAAGGACCACATATCACTATAATCTCACCTCCTTCAAACCACTGTCTCCTTCAAATCAAACCTAGTCCTTAGCTGTTGTTGAGGAGTCCTTCTGAAGCCTATTTTTGGGGTTAGGAGCCATCTGGTGATGCTTATTCCCAGCCAATTTATACCCATTTGTTGCAGGGGCACTCTAGTCTTTGAGCTATTTGGCTCATTTCACTCCCTGGTGTTTACACTTCAGTTGCCAAAGAGCAACAGTCCCTCTCTTAATCCTTTAACTGGGACTTTAACCCCATATCCCTACTCTGTACCCATGAGCCAGCTGGAGCTCACTTGTCCCCCAGTTGTGTGGTATTAAACTCGGTCAGAACCTCCCTGCTGCGTCGCAGGAGTCAGATTGGGGTTGATTCCTGTGCAGTGGGGTACAGGTTGGAGCCTGTGTTTGCAAACATGTCCAAACTTGTCTTTAGCTTCTCACATTGAGCTGCTTAAATTTAATTTTTGAAATAAATCAGCTCTCAGGTACTTGAAACAACTTGGAAAAAAATCTTCAAATGGTTTAGAGTTTGGTCCTTCTACTGGTTTCTGGTTGTGTCCCCCAAGGGCACCATTCCACCCGAAGGCTAAATTGGTCTGGAAAAGCTCTGAGTCTGAGCTTCTGAGTGCTGACTCTCAGAAGTAAAGTGCACATTGATTAAAATGGAGGATTTCTTAAAGTATTTATTAGTTTAAGGGTTTGGGGGGTTAATTACAGCAGAATTTATCATGGGGTAATTGAATTTAATTGTTATGTGGGGCTGCTCCCCTCTGTTTTGAAGGAAAAAAAAAAAAAAGGCAGAATTGTTGACCAGCCTGGCGTGGATTTTGTGTTGTTGATGGAATAGTCCTTCACATGATTTACTTTAACCTGTTAAGATGCGTTTTATACCTGCCCTGAAACTTGTGATGAAAACAACCCTGAAACATGTTGAAAACGCAGCTGTTTCCACACTCAGTCCCTACATCTATTTACAGAAAAGATGACACGTGGCTTGTCGAAGCACAAGGATTCCATAGGATCAGCTCTGCCCTGCAAGGGCTTTGTACCCTTTGTACCCTTTCCTGTGTCGTGCCTGCAGGGGAAGTGGTGGGGGTTTGATGATCAGAATGGGAAGGATGCATGCAGCGAAGATGGTGAGGAACTGAGACTGGGTGAAGGAACAGAGAAAAATTTTACTTGAGAAAGTGTCTCCTTTGATTAGAGAGTGGCTCTTTGACATGTAGGAAAATCTGTGTAGGTAAGATTGATGACTTTAAACTCCTGGGAGGGATGTGGTGATACAAGGTGTTGGACTGTGCCAAGTTCTGCTCTGGTCTTTGCCTCCATCCCGTTGACGGAGGCTTTGCTCCCATGTACCTATTTGGACAAATGACCTGGGGCTCTAGCAGGTACATAGTGAGCCCATACAAAGCAGAAGGAGAAACAACAAAATAACCTTAATTTTTTCTTGGTTTCTCCAGCAAGCAGTCTGGATTCTTCTGCTGCCTTAAAAAAAAAAGTTGGGATCACTGACAGCTGGTGTCAGACTCCAGAACCACCCCCCCAAAGAGGGTCACAGAGGTTTCTCCCCATGCTATGATATCTCCTTTCAGTTGCCCTGGTTTGCACAGTGCAAGTGCCCGAACATCTGCAGGACTAAGAACTTGACTCCACAGGTTCAGCTGAGTCATCCACCCTACAAAACCATTGGAGAATGTCCCAAGAAGTGTGTCTCTAGCTTTCCCAAGGACAAGTGTCCCTCCAGCCTGGATCACATACCCCTTCTGGATACTTACTGCTTTAGCAGCAGCTCCATTGAGCCATAAATTTGCCATTCCAGACTGGGAGGCCCATGCCATGCAGTAGTGCAGCCAATCTTGTGCCTTGTGGTAGAGGGGGAAGCTGATGAAATGGCCTCCTATCCACAATCCCACATCTGTGCCCACGGTCATCACTAGCTCATTATCCCTCTCCTGTGTGGAGTAGGAAAGAACAGTCTGACTGCCAGTGTGCTGGGCTTTTGTCCAGGAACATAAGGTGAAGGCTTGGAGAGACATATCATGGAGGGGATGAACGTTCACAAAACTCTCGATGTTTTCCACAGGGAAGTAGAAAGCTGGAAAAGTGCTGGATTTAATACCTGAAATAACCAAAGAACCAGCTGTTACATTTCTTACAGCGCTTATAAATCAGCCCAAATCCTGAAGAATAGACCCAGAGGAGCTAGCAGGGCTGTGACAGTCGTAGCTGTGTTGAGCCACAGCTACTGGCATGTGTCATACCAACAGGGAAGAGGCTTGGAATGATGAGAAGCTTAGTTCCCTCACCCAACTGTTTGGGAGAAATAACTTTTTCCCCCCTTCCTCTTTTAATGGTTGGACTTGATGATCTTAGAGGTCTTTCCCAACCTTAATGATTCTATGATTTTCTCATCTTGTGTGAAATAAGAGACGGTGATTACTTATCCTGGGTGAACTGTGAGCTTAAATCTCGCCCTGTAAAAATGTGCTTACGTGTTGCAGGAGAAAGCTGTAGTTGCTGTGAGTAGCTAGATTAGGGCTAGCTGTAGTGATGCTGTCGTTGAAGAATTTCCATCAGCAGGCCTAGATATGGGACAAAATTCTACCTGCATGTATCAGTACCAAACCTGTTAATGATTTAGGCCATCAAGGACAGCAGGGCATGTGCTCTTCACCCTTGGAAAGTAAGCTGGACCCAAGAATAGATGTGTGTTTCTTACCTATGTGGCTCACTCCATTCAGCAACTCTCTCTTCATGTCTTGGAGCTGCATCTGGATTTGTTCCAGTCTGAGGTTGAATTCTTCTGGCTGGCATTGTTCTAGAGCAATCAGACAGCTGAATTTACAGAAAGCCAGGACCTGCACGGAGGAAAGCCTGAGTCCTGCCTGCTGCCTCCTCTTACCTTGGGTGAGTTTGGCTCTGAAGGAAGACTCCACCACCCGCCCGTTGAGGGGCTGAGCGTGCCGGTAGTCGTTGCGCAGTGTCCTGTTGTGCCAGTCCAGCAAGGTGCTCTCCAGGAGGCTGATCTGTGAGGGGTGCAGGCTTGTTATGGAGGGCAACAGGTCAACAGCTTTGCTAAGAAGCACAGTGCAGATTAAACACAGCAATTGTGATAGAGGAACCCTTGCTGACTATTCACGAGGGAAAGGAACAGAGCATGAGGGCTCTTATCAGCTAATTCATGATAAAAATATTTTGCTGAAGGCAGTTTTTAACAGCCGCCTGATGGTATGCATGGATGGAGATTTTGCTGCTATTCTGTAGTGTACTGCTTTCTCACTGCCAAAAAGAGTGTTTCTTTTTCAAATGAGAATACCCTGTGATCCTCCACTGCTGCAGTCTCCACTTTATCTTGTTCTTTTCATGGAAGAAAATGCTTCTGATGATTCTTTTTCATTAAGGAAGATGAACCACTCAACAGTAAGCTTATTTTACTTGTGTTACTTTTTTCCCTGCTAAAGCCTTTTATGGTTTGGGGGGTTTTTTGGACTCTTGCAATAGTTTTTGCCTTATTGATTCTGACTGATATCTTCCATTTCATAGTGTTTCAGTACAGTTGAGCTTAACTGAGCAGAGAGCTTTGTCACTGCTCACCAGACCTCAAGTAAACTGCTGCTGTACAGCAACTGGCCCTGGCTGTGCTGTAGCATCACGGCCACCTGTAATTCCAGTTGCATAAGAGTCTATCCCAAAAGCCCTGTGTGAGAAATGCCCTATTAGCTCCTCTCTCAGGCTGTTCCCAAAATCACTGGAGAACAAAAAAGGAAAATTGTGTGGAAGGGTGAAGCGTGGAGGCAAGAGAGGCTGATCTGTCTGGCAAACAGCAATTGCTTACCTGTGTGTGTGACAGGATAATTGGAGAATGAAAAATGGTCCAGATGACACTCTCAGAGCAAGGTGGGGTTGTTAGTGAGCCCTGGTACCTGTAGAAGTGTGAGAGGTTTTCTGGCAGCATGGCTTGGACATCCAGAGAAATGAGCTTTGTAGATTGACCTCAAAAGGAAACAGAGGGGCAACGTTAACAATTAATGGGAAATAAAGAGAAAGGTGAGAGTGATGTTAGAGCTGAGGTTAGGAAATCACTTTGCCCACAGCACTGGTATATTAGACCCTTGGCAGAACTGGATGAAGATGGAGTGAAGTGGATGGTCCTTTCAGTGGATCTATGGTTTGTCACTCGGATACCTGGGGTCTGGGAGGTGGTGGGCACCTCAGTGCTCTGCCAGTAGCCATTAGTCCTCCCAGGAAGCATTGGTGCAGCAGCTCCTGCTACCTGGGTGTGCAGATGGTAGGAAGCTGTTATGTGATGGTGCTGCAGAGACCTGCCAGGAGTGTGTTTATTGCTGCCTTGAGCATGTTCCACGCCACCCTGCTGTTTGGACTACTGCTCGAGCTGTGTGGGCAGGGATGGTGTGAAGCTGTGTGTGGCTGAGGATGCTTGGCCATGTAACTGCAAGCAAAG